TGCCAAGGTGTGTGAATCACTGCACTAGAGGAAGCAGTTAAAAGTACATTGAAAAAAAATTGAAAGAGAGGAAGATTCTTGCGCCTACCTCTTCAGAAATTATTGGCTTGATTAAATGCTCATTCCATCCGTTAACATTAATTAAAATTTTGACAATAAGATTTAGAACAGGCTAAACCTGTGGCTGAGGCATTTTCCTCTGCGTGGTTTTTCTCTGTTTTCCTCCCTCCCCCCATCAGCACTACTTTCCTCTGTGTCTTGAGCCTCTGCTGCAAGGGGGTTTGGAGGTGTGGTCAAAAAAGTCAAGATGACAACCATGGGAGGGCAATGGAAGCTCTACCCCTTTTTTATGCCCGTTGCGTGGACCATCCTGATTTGTATGTATGTTGTAGCTGTCAGCTTGACCTTTTGACCATACCCTGTGTTCAACTCTGCCCTAACACTTGTGTTCTGCCGTTCCCAGACTTGTCTCACCCACCTGCATCCACGTGTTGCTTTTGTGCTCATCTTCTGCATGGAGTCAAGTATAGATGTCATCCACAACTTGCCACTGGTAGGTCACTGTTCTTCCTGGAATCCTGATCTGATGAGTGACAACAGGGAGACATTTGGAGGGAGGGGCTGTAGAACTAAGGCTGAGCACTCCTTGTTAACTTGCCAGGGCATTTGTTTGACCCATAAGGATGTTCATCGCATGTTTAAAAGCAGCGAAGCCAGGAATGCTGGATTCTCTAAAGAGAATAAGTAAATAAAGAATCAGTTGAATTAAATAAATAAAATAAGAGCTGAATACATCTGAAAAAGCTGAAAGAAAACCAGCAAGCAGGGTGTCCACAGCATGTGTGTGAGCCCCACTAGGTAGACCAGACCAGAAAATTAATTCCACCGGAAGACCAGAACTACGTTTATTGAGATTGTTTATAATAATATAATCTTGCAAATCTGATTGTGCTGTGCCTCCCCGCTTCTCACATCTACCTTCTTATACTCCAGTGAATCAGGAAGGTATCTGCCTGAGCCTCTTCCAAATATCATCTCATTGCTCAGGACTTAAAAAACGTTTCATCTCCTTTAGCCTAGGAAATATGCAAATTGCCTTGCATATTTCTGTCAAGGTCATCTTCCTTACTTTCTACAGTATGGTCAAAAAAGTTAAGATGGTGGCCACTACAGTATGATCGATGCTCCTAGGCTATGGAATTAACTTCTGTGGGAGTTACATTTCATCCCCATCTCCACTTTCAAGAAAGGTTTTCAACTCTTCTGTCTGGCTGTTTGAGTCCTACTAATAATCATTTACATTTTAATTTACAGGTAGTCCTCACTTAACGATGGTGATTGGGACCATCACTAAGTGATGCAGTCATAAAGCGTGATTTTATATTTATTTATTTATTTCTAAATCAAACTTGCATGCCACCCATCTCATTACAGAAGTGACTCTGATGTCATGGGACCACACTGCTTAGCGATGGCAGTTCCAGCAGTGCCTGGTTACCATTGTTAAGTGAATCACCACCGGTCATTAAGCGAGGACCTCATGTGACTGTGACTTCCAGTTTCCTGCCAGCTTCTCCATTGACTTTGCTTGTGAGAAGCCAGCAGGGAAAGTTGGAAATCACAGTCATGTGACCAAGGGACGCTGTGACTGCTGGAACTTGGAGGACTGGTCATAAGTACCCCTTGCTCAGCACTGTCATAAGTTTGAACGGTCGTTGAATGAATGGTTGTTAACCAAGTAGCGGTTAGCTGCCATAAGTGCCCAGTGGATTGAAAGACAAACTGTACATTGCAGAAATGTGCCAATAATACATAATTTATTTGTTAGATTTTTATCTTACCTTCCTGGAGCTTATATAGGACTTCCACTCCATTTCCCCCCCCCATTTCTGTAAGCTGGATAGGTCCAAGAGAGAGCCCAAAGTAATCCATCAAGTTCTATGACAGAAGGACTTACAAAGGCAGTCAAATCCACCTTCAGTTTTTAGCAATTGTGATTGGAGGCTCCAGGGAACACAGAAATGGGTTCAATAAAAATGCCCATTCCTATGATAAAGTAATAAGGATTGCCCACTCTTTTCTTGCAGTGCCTGAAACTGTATGCTCCTGAAATCTCTCTAGCTAATATCACTGCATGTGTAAATGGAGACCTAGGTAACAAGCTTATGCATGAGAATGCTAAACTCACCAGGGCTCTGCAACCATCTCATGAGTACGTGCCATGGATTCTCATCAATGGGGTAAGTGTTAATGTGGGCAGTAGATAATGTTCCCCCTCACATCTTCCAGTATTAATCTTCTACAAACCACAGATGTATCAAGTTTGGCAAAGAGGTTGCAGCTAAACCTTGATGTACATGGAGAGATCTACATCCTCTTCCAACATTTGACAAGTAAAAATGGGAGCAAACAGTTTTGGATGGAACAGCCCCTCCAGACAGGATTTGTAGTAGTCTTGATCAAAGGCACTGTGGAACTATACTGAATTCCTTTCCATAACAGATTGTCTGTAGTAGGAAAAAATGATGGTAGAAATGATGGAGGGGACTAGGAAGACAACAGTTGAGAGGCTGACGACCCCCTTAGTCTCCCTGCCATATTCTGTGAATCAGGTTGGGAGAATGATATAGAAATATTTGAAATAAATAAATAAATGCTGTGGGATTGCTGCCAAAGTGACATAGGATTGCATCTCTACACAATCTCTCACTCTTCTCCCTCCACTCAGTTATTGTTAGAATTTCCAGTTTTTACAAATAATGGTTCCTCATTTTTCTACGTAAATTAAACATATCTAAAACAGGTTTCTTTTAAGGAATTGTGATATCCTGCTTTTGTGCAGTTAAAAGTGCATAACAAAATTATACCCCTTTGTTTGTTTAAAGTTTACTTCATCTGTGTTATGTGATGTAATCCCCCCTATGCATTCTTTTAATCCAGAACTTGTAATGAATGATGCCCACAGAGAATATTTATTTTTAGGGACCATATGCTATAGAGAAATACAGATGCTGGGAGAAAATAGTAGGAAATAGCGTTTGCTGTCCAACTCTGCTTGCAAGCCTCCCAGATAAACCTGGTTAGCTATAATGGAAAGCAAGGATGGGCATATTTCAGGCATTTTTGATATTTTTTTGTTCCTGAAAAATAGGGGAAATGAATCCCACATCTGGAACTCAGAAGGGCAGAGAAAGGGATTGGGGGTCTCCATGTGCCAGTGCGTGAAATACCATTGAGCGAGATGATCCTTGGTCTGCTCCTGCAAAACTCTTGCCGTTAATGTAAAAGTCCAAAAGTATATTCTCCAGTACAAATTCCCCTTCATCCCCACCAGCAACAGATAAACACAAGTGAGTAGGTAACACTGGGCTCAAAGGTTGGAGAGCTAATTCCCTCCCTACCCACCCTCAAGTGCTAATTTGGCAGCATCTACAGTTTCCGCTTGCTTTTCTGGAAGAAATTAAAGTTTGGCTGATCTAGAAAGCTAAGCCGGGTTGGACCTGCTTAGTGCTTGGATAGGGGACCATCTGGGGAATCTAGTCATGATTCTTTTAAACCAGGGAGGATCACATTTCTATAGTCAGGCCAGGAGATGCTTTGTTAACTGGGGAGGGGGTCTGTTTATGTTTTCCCCACCCAACCATGGAAGACAGCAAAGCCATGGCCAAGAGGAGGGAGCAATTGTTAGGGGGGATGAGGGAGCTTGTTTTAAGCCAGTGTTGTCCAAACTTGGCCACTTTAAGATGAGTGGACTTCAACTCCCAGAATTCCCCAACCCACAAGGGCTGCCGGGGGAATTTTGGGGTTGGAGGCCCCCCCATCTTAAAATGGCCAAATTTGGACAAACACGCCTTAAAAAAAAC